CCTTTTTGGGGTTTAGGGTTTAGGAATGAGGGTTTATCGTATGGCGTTTAGGGTTAGGTAATAAGAAGCCAATCCCCACCCGGTACTGGGTATCAGAAAAGATTAGATATTGTAGGTATACTGAGACCCTAGTAACTCCACAGTTAGGAGCTACTGTAGGGGGATTGGAGGATGCACCCCCCCCCCCTTCATAAACCTTAGGGTTCAGGGTTCGCTCAGACGGGGGGTAATGTTTGACTTTGATGACGGGGAGTGATAAAAGCCGGGCGAAGACCCACCTCGTCCCAAACGGTGCTCTATACAGAAAACAGCACCCAGAAAACTTCATTTCAGGCTTTGGACTCATTATGATTTTGCCAAGAATGCCCTAAACCGTTTAACTCCAAACGGCCCAGGCGTACGGCTACAACAACCTGGAGACATCCGTCCCCCAGACGGTAGCTGTGCCGGGCCCTTAAGCCTTAGGATTTAGGGTTCAGGCTCTACCCAAACATCGAAACTCGAGTGCCGAACTCCAAACCTTAAGTTCTAAGCCCTGATCGACCTGCCTCAACACTGCATGCCACACAGCATGCCGGACCTGACCTAATGCCTATGTCGCTTGGCATACATACCCCCCTTTAAGTAGATAGACTATGGCTTTGGGTCTATTATGATAAGATCCTCATATACCCCAGATTCTATCTACTTAAGGGGGACTATATACATGCTAATGTGTATATGGTAGCTTCCCCAAAGAGCCCTTACGAAAGGGGGGTGGTCCTTGTTAGGTCTGCCGGGCAGCCGGTCAACAACTTGTCCGACCTGGCCCGTGGCGAGCTGGCCATGGCTGGATACACGGAGTGCAGCTGGGCCTTGCTGAGGATTGAGGGTTTAGGGTTCAGGGTTTAGGGTTGGTTTAGGTTGCAGGGTGTAGGGTTCAGGGTTTAGGGTTGGTTTAGGTTTCAGGGTGTAGGGTTGGGTTTAGGGTTGGTTTAGGGGGATGCACAGGGGATGTATAGGGATAATGGAAAAGAAAATGGAAACTACCATTTAAGGTTTAGGGTTTAAGGGCTTAGGGATGTTTAGGATTTTAGGATTGAGGGCCTTGCTTTGGAGTTTAGTTACATAGGGGATAATGGAAAAGAACATGGAAACTACTATGATGGAGTTATATAGGGGTCATATAGGGTTCAGGGTTTAGGGTTGGTGTAGGGTTCAGGGTTTAGGGTTCAGGGTTGAGGGCTTAGGGTTCAGGCTTGAAGGTCTAGCGTTCAGGGTTGAGGGATCAGGGTTTAAGGTTCAGTGTTACCCTAGGGTTTAGGTTTCAGGCCTGTGGGTTCAGGGTCCAGGGTTTGGGGTTTCGGGATTAGGGTCTAGGGTTTAGGGCTCAGGGTTTGGGGTTCAGGCTTTAGGGTTCTGGGTTGGGTGTTTATTGTCAACAGCTCTAGCTATTGACATTGATCATGTTTGAGAGTTCCTCTTAGGGGAGGGTCCATGAGCGGTGCTTTCCAAAGGAACATGAATGGTTTCAAATATTTCAAAGCCCCGCATTTTCAGAACAGCCCGGGTATGTAGATTTCGGACCCAAAGCAACTCCTGTTTCGTGTGTCACTGTGTCGGACTCCTCCAAAGTTATACAAAAATCCGCTCCGCTACACTTGAAGACCGCAGCCCAAAACCCCAGTACCTAGCCCCCACATCCTAACAATGTAGTGTAGCTACAACTTGAGAGAGAATCCGGGGAAGAGTCCTCCATTGTTTAATTGTTGAATAGTATGTGAATGGCTTATCAATATCTGATGCCAGTACGGATGGACTAGAGTATCTTGGGATGCTCTAAGACGAACCCCCAATATTCGGAAATACCCATAGCTCAAACAATGTAAATCCCAACTCCGTCCATATAGCCACAAATCTACAAAACTACAACAGGGCTTTCGCCAGAAATTTAGAGCACCCCGAGCTGAGAAAGCTCCCGGAGATTATCCACTATCCAAATGAGTTGCACGAGAAGGTATAGGATATTGTCCTAAACCCTACTTTGTTTGTAGCAGCCGTGCGTAGCCTCCTGTGCGTTTTCCCGGGTCCCCAACACCGTAGCGGCAAGCCCTGAGCTATTGACCCTGAAGCTTAAAATCAAAGACCAAGACTCTAGTCCTAGATTCTGAGGCCTATTCCCTACACATCCCTATATACCCTGTATGCCCCGGTGTACCTTCAACCCTGAACACTACCCATGTATCACCCCATCTCACCGGGGGGTTAGCAGATAGTAAGGGAATGCAGTATGTAGCGATTCTGCAAGGACCATACAACTAGGAAGCTCTAAACAAGTTCTGAACCCTACACTCTAAACCCTAAACCCCAACTTTAAACCCTAAGCGCCTATCTCTAACACCGAAACCTTATGAACCCTAAACCCCTAACCTTAAGCCCCTAACTCTGAAACGTAAACGCCAAACCCTATGAACCCAACGCCTGTGGCCCATGGAGAAACGAAAACCCTAAAGCCTAAGCTCTAAACCCTAAACCCTAAACCACAATCCGCCTAAACCCTAGGTATGAACTGGTCGCTTTTGTCCAAGAAGGAGTGGCTCGGACCTTGCTTTGGGTTTTAGGGTTTTTGGGGTTTGGGGGTTTTGGGTTTTAGGGTTTTTGGGGTTTGGGG